CCCTGGGGTGTCCTTGTCACCCTGAGACCCCCAAGGATCCTGAGCTGTCCTTGTCACCCCGAGCACCCCAAGGACCCTGGGCTGTCCTTGTCACCCCAAACACCCCAAGGCCCCTGGGGTGTCCTTGTCACCCTGAGCTCCCCAAGGACCCTGGGCTGTCCATGTCACCCTGAGCACCCCAAGGCCCCTGGGGTGTCCTTGTCACCCTGCGCACTCCAAGGACCCTGGATTGTCCTTGTCACCCCAAACCCCACAAGGCCCCTGGGGTGTCCTTGTCACCCTGAGCACCCCAAGGCCCCTGGGCTGTCCTTGTCACCCTGAGCACCCCAATGACCCTGGATTGTCCTTGTCACCCCAAACATCTCACAAGGACCCTGGGGTGTCCTTGTCACCCCGAGCACCCCAAGGCCCCTGGGGCTGACCTCGCGCAGGGCCTCGGCGTAGGAGCTCATGTCGGTCAGGATGACCAGCACGTGCTTCTCGCACTGGTACGCCAGGAACTCGGCCGTGGTCAGCGCCAGCCGCGGCGTGATGATCCTCTCGATCCTGCGCGACACCCCCAATTAGCACCATTAGCTTAATTAGCCCCCCGCAGGGCAGGTTCGGGGCGCGCGGTGCAGCCCAGCCTGGTGTGGGCACCTCAGGGAGGGTGGGGAGCCCCAGGGGGAGTCAGGGGAGTCCCCCCAAAATGGTCCGGGTGGGACTGGGGGGTCCTGGTGGGGAAGAGGGAGAGGGAGGAGAGGGAAAGGGGAAAGAGGAAAGGAAGGGGAGAGGGAGAAGGAAAATGGAGGAGAAAAGGAGAGGGGAGAAAGAAGGAGGAGGAAAAGGAGGGAGAAAGGGAAGGAAAAGGAAAATGGAAGAAAATTGAGAGAAAAAAAAGAGCGAAATAAAGAAAAAAGCAGAAAGGAGAAGGGGAGAAGGGAAAGAAGGAAAAGGGGAAGGGGGGAAGTAGAAAGAAAAAGAAGAAAGAAGGAAAAAAGAAGAAAGGAAGGAGGAGAGAGAGGGAGGAGGAGAAAGAAGGGGAGAAGAAAAGAAAAAGGAAGGAGAAAATAAGAGAGGAGGGAGGAGGAGGAGAAAGGGGAAGGGAGAGGGAAAAAGGGAGAGGGAAAAGGGAGAGGGGAAAAGGGAGAGGG